ATAAGGATGGTGTTCGATTCCGGAGCGTAACTCAAAAACCGTTAAATATGTTCTTACAAAACTTTGCATGTCTATCAGACTCATGCTGCACTGGTGCGTTTTGCTATTTAGGAATTTTAGATATTTTTAGTTTTTGCGTTTCCATGGCAACAAGTTGGACTTAGGTTCAAGAAGGGTGGTGTTCGTTTCCGGAGCGTAACTCAAAAACCGTTAAATACTTTCTTACAAAACTTTGCATGTCTATCAGACTCATGCTGCACTGGTGCGTTTTGCTATTTAGGAATTTTAGATATTTTTAGTTTTTGCGTTTCCATGGCAACAAGTTGGACTTAGGTTCAAGAAGGGTGGTGTTCGTTTCCGGAGCGTAACTCAAAAACCGTTAAATACTTTCTTACAAAACTTTGCATGTTTACCAGGCACATACTGAACTGGTGCCTTTTGATATTTAGCACTTTTTAGAATTTTTTTATTTTTTACGTTTCTATCGCAACAAGTTGGATTTAAGTTTTAATATAGGTAGGGTTCACTTATGGACTATAACATATAAACTGTTATATATTTCCTTGCCAAACATTGCATGTCTATATATAAAGCACATACTGAACTGGTGCCATTTGATATTAAGGAGTTTTAGAAATGTATATTTTAGAATTTCCATTGCAGCTTTTTTGACATGGGCTAACAGAAAAGTTGGGTCAGTTACCTGCAGCTGGTTTGGGACCATAACGTGTTAAAATGCGCGGGGGATATAGATGACTTCGTCGACTATACGCTTGTTTGGTCTATAGTCGTTTGAAGATCTCTCTGAAATAGATGCAGTATTGATGAAAGATCGGGCACTCCATTGTGATATTTGTCCATATTGTATTGAGGATTCAGTTTACATATTTAATGCTACCGATCATCCATTGCCGTAGCTGACAAAGCAACCATTACCGTCGTCGTTAACTGTCACCGCCTTCATATAGCTGGAATATTGCTGAGTGCGGCGTTAAACAACAAACAAACAAATAACAACTATCATAAAGGTTGCCATCGATCGTTCATTTCAAGCGCTGCAGACCCGTGCAGATCCGGGGTAGAATAGGTCTTCAGCAACCCATGCTTGCCGTAAAAGGCGACTAACGGGATCGGGTGGTCAGGCTCGCTGACTTTGTTGATGCATTTCATCGATCCCAATTGCGTGGATCGATGCTCATGATATTAATCACTGGATTTTCTGGTCCAGACTCGATTATTTACAGACCGCCGTCATATAGCTGGATTATTGCTGAGTGCGCGTAAAACAAAAACAAAACTAAACCAATCAAGTGGAAATAAGCATACAATCAGTTTTATTTTCCTCGACATCCTAATTACGAAGGAAATTACAATTGGTACAATGCCATGGAAATCACGCACAAGCTTCCTGTTAATAACAATTAAGAGCAGTATTCTCAGTTTGAATTGCACTTTTGTTGAAAACGAGGAAGTACTGTGTCCACCTCGTATCTATGGTAACGTTGCATTCGTTAATGCACGTAGTGTCTGGCTATAAATATCGCTTTCGCTCAGACTTCTATGAGATCAGAATTTGAAACAATTCCATCAAGGTCGAACGGTCATAGAAAAATACTGTGAGAAATCAAGGTCTGGATCCATAGTATTTAAACCTTGTAGGAGCCGACCAAACAACTGAAGGCTTGTTTTTATATACTCTGCAAAAAAAAGTAGGGGATATTTTGTTTGAGGTGAAACTAAAGGAAAATACACCAATGTCTGGCAATGGCAATAAGTGATTTATGTGGCAAGAACTTTTCCGAAAGAATGTAGCTTCCAAACACAACCTTGTGACACGTCATGAAGCACGTGACCTCAGGCAGCACGTGCAAGGGGTGGTATGCTCACTCAGACTCAGTTGTGAGCAGACGCATTTTGTTTTCTTGAAACCAACCGCTCACAGGCACATTATTAACCACTTTTAATCATTAAGGATTGGTTGGTTGGTTTGTTGTTGAACGTCGCACTCAGCAATATTCCAGCTATATGACGGCGGTCTGTAAATAATTGAGTCTGGACCAGACAATCCAGTGATTGATATCATGAGCATCGATCCACGCATTTGGGATCGATGGCATGCTTCAACCAAGTCAGCGAGCCTGACCACCCGATCCCGTTAGTCGCCTTTTACCACAAGCATAGTCACCTTTTACGGCAAGCATGGGTTGCTGAAGACCTATTTTCCCCCGGAATCTTCACGGGTTAATCATTAAGGAAGCAGGCCAGTGAAGATCCGGGGTAGCATAGGTCTTCAGCCACCCATTCTTGCAGTAAAAGGCAGGATCGGATGGTCAGAGTCGCCGACTTGGTTTATGCATGTGATCATGTCCCAACTGCATGAATCGATGCTCATCATGTCAATCAAGATCCGTGGTAGAATAGGTCTTCAGCAACCCATGCTTGCCGTCAGGCCAGGCTCGCCGACTTGGTTTATGCATGTCATCGATCCCAATTGCATGAATCGATGCTCATGATGTCAATCAAGATCCGGGGTAGAATAGGTCTTCAGCAACCCATGCTTGCCGTAAAAGGCGACATGCTTGTCGTAAAAGGCGACTAACAGGCGGATGGTCAGGCTTCCTGACTTGGTTGATGCATGTCATCGATCCAAATTGCGTGTCTGGATTGTTTGGTCCAGACTCGACTATTTACAGACCGCCGTCATATTGCTGGAATATTGCTGAGTGCGGCGTAAAACAACAAACCAACCAACCAAATCATGATGTCAATCAATGGATAATTATCTGGTCCAGACTGGATTATTTACGGACCGCCGTCATATAGCTGTAATATTGCTGAGTGCGGCGTTAAATAAGAAACAAACTCAGACGTTATCCTTTCAGCAGCAAAAAATGGTCGGTTCACCTAAATTCCAAATAATCGCAATGCAATTGTAATAAAAACGACTTTTATTCAATATTTAAAGATTAAACAATATATACAAAGATTTTGGCAAATTTGTGTCATCAAGTATATGTTGTTCACATCTCAGACATGCAAACAAAGCGCTGTTGAATTAACTAGAGCAACAACTGGAACTCACCTCTTACTTGTATTTTACAAACAGTTAACCTAAGCTTGTAGGTGACATTTTATTCTTGTAGATTAAGTCTTTGAATTTTGGCTGATCACTGGATTGTCTGATTGAGACTCGATTACTTACAGGCCGTCGTTAGCAGGAATAGCTGGAAATTTGCTGAATGCAGTGTTGAACGAAAATATTATTGGGGCGATATTCCCTTGAATTATGTCTTTAAAGCACGTGCGCTACACGTGACAATAACTCATACCCTGAAAGTATTTACAAGAATAACTGATGTTTGTCACCTAAAAGCTTACGTGTACTACTGTACGAGACGATTATCAGAAATAACACCATGTGGTTGTTAGATAATTAATCGATGACAATAATAAAAAAAATGCATCGCAAATACACATGTTGCACCTTAAATGCGAAATACTGACTGAAAGACATATATAGATTTATTTAATAACTTGTATGCTACACATCAATACAAAACCAAATGTGGCAAATCTTCGGACGGATTCATTCTGGAAATGTTTTAGAAATCGGATGTTAAAAGGTGGTTATTAAAATACCGCCTAGACATTTTGATAACTTCATAAATATACACACCCGATAAAGGGTTAAGCACCGCTTTCTCTATAGTTACATATAAAATCGTCATATTTGTTTTATAGTATCCGGCGGCTTTTTCTAACTAAATATATATTTGATTTTGTTTACAATGTGAAATGCTGCTTTTTCTGACAAACATATATTTGATTTTGTTCACAATGTGAAATGGTCATATTGAAATACAGAAAATCTAAATCGAATTTGTACATATTCCATGGCAAGAGTTAATCGCATACTTTCAACTGATGCTTCTGTCCTTATATAATGTTTTAACATGTTTTTGGAATATATAACGCGGCGGGGGATCTAACCACCGGCCTACCGCTCTTCGGGCAAACGCTCTGGACAATGGAGGTGGTCCAGTACTTGTGACCATCTACGATAACATACAGCGTTCCTTTACCAAATACAACAATTGGTTGGTTGGTTTGTTGTTTAACGCCGCACTCAGCAATATTCCAGCTATATGACGGCGGTCTGTAAATAATCGAGTCCGGACCAGACAATCCAGTGATTAATATCATGAGCATCGAACCACACGCAATTGGGATCGATGACATGTTTCAACCAAGTCAGCGAGCCTGACCACCCGATCCCGTTTGTCACCTTTTACGGAAAGCATGGGTTGCTGAACACCTATTCTACCCCGGATCTTCACGGGTCTCAAATACAACAGGTATTGGTAGTATCTAAGACATTTTACCATCAAAATGACATCAATGTGATATGTAAACGTGTCCAAACGAAACAAGGAAATACGGGATGTATAAAAAGTATAGAAGGGGCTTGTGCTCAACCTTTTCCCAGGTGCATAAACAGTCAGATCGAATTTTAGATGTACGAAATATACGTTTGAATATGCAGCGTGATATAATCTGGCAGAAATGTTTTACTATTTTCATTGAATAGACATAACAGAAACGTGTGGGAAGTAAATAGTATCTGACAATTTCAATCTACATAAAATGCTTATGAGTTTTGCTCGTCAAGATCGCCGCCTTCTTTTATACTGGCCTTGTCCTTTTTGGCTCTCGTGTCTGGATAGTTTGTTGATTTGTTGTTTAACGCCGCACTCAGCAGTATTCCAGCTATATGACGGCGGTCTGTAAATAATCCAGTATGGACCAGACAATCCAGTGATTGACATCATGAGCATCGATCCACGCATTTGGGATCGATGACATGTCTGGATAGTTTTAATAAACACGTAAAAAACTTCAAACGTAAACATATTTTGTCTATTAAAGTTGTCATTTAATCTGTAACAACTGGGGCGGTCGGGTAGCCTAGTGGTTAAAGCGTTCGCTCGTCACGCCGAAGACCCGGGTTCGATTCCCGACATGGGTACAATGTGTGAAGCCCATTTCTGGTGTCCCCAGCCGTGATATTGCTGGAATATTGCTAAAAGCGGCGTAAAACCAAACTCACTCACTCACTGTAACAACTAAGTAATGTTCAGTAAACTGGGTCAAATTGGACTCCTTCATAGTAAAAGTTACAAATTATGCTCGTTAAGTAAAAATTTCCGTAATAAAATCCACGATCGCATATTCTTGTAATTGTCCCTGGCTTAAGTGCCAGTTTATTGCAAAATGGAAAAAATTAAATACATAGTTTCGTACATAATTTCATTATTTATACAAAGGAACTTATAAAAAAAACAACTGCAAACTGTGTTTAATCATAAATAATATATAGTTTCCATACAAAAAGGCATGGACTTTCTCTGCACATCAGAAACTGTGATCTTTAAGCAGGACCTGTTGTTCATTTATATTTATGTTCCACCAAGTGTTTTAAACTATAAATCCTTTTGATAGGCTTCCCCAAATTCTGGAACTCGGCAAGAATTGCTGTTGGGACGGGGACATAGATTCTTATGTAGAAAATGAAAATTGCGTATATAATATTGTTTCAATTTTACAATGACATTTAAAAAAAATACTTCAGGCACCATGGTTAACAAATACAATTACACATAAATAAAGCACAACACGAAATGATCTAAATATAGGTTGATGACGTCACGGACGGAAGAGGCCAGGCACCTTTTTCCAACATGTGTAATCGATTGAATGATTTGGACGGAGAATCTCGAATTCCTTGATCGGCAACACTTGTTTCCATGACCCCGATGTGGTTCTTTTTCCCAAACGAGGATGTGTTTGTGATTGCGTAAGTGTTGCTACGGTAACAACGCATTGTAGACATGCACAAAACCTCCTTGCATCCCCGTCGGAAGTTCGAGTTGTAGCACAGATACACGAACGGCTTCGTCACTCCAGTTCCACACATGACCCAGGCCACGGCGATATACAACGCTGGATCCGCGCGGGACGGCTGAGCGAGACAATACCACAGTTGACAAACATAAAAAGGCATATGAAACAACACGGAAAGCAAGGTCACGATTATTATCATCTTCACGACCTTGACCTTTGTCCTTGGAACTGGGTTCATCGTCCTTTGTAATAACCTTGACCCCAGGTGGATCCTCCAAATATGTTTGAACACCCGAATGTAGCACGTTAATAGGATTGTAGATGGAATAACGACTTCGCATGCGAATACGAACAAAATATACACAATCCCGGACCAAGACCCAGTTGAGACGTACGTAGGGCACACGTTTCGCCCTGTGCCGTCAACGTCAGAAATAACGTCGTAGAAATAAAAGCAGAATCCGCTGAGGATGGCCGCAGACGCCCAGCTAAACGTGATCATTCGTTTGGCAGTGCCTTTAGTCACTTTAAAACTAAGGGGATAAATGATGGTGTAAAACCGATCAATGGCTATTGAAACCAAGGTGTACATGTTGACACAAGGCACAAGGAATTGTACAAATCGAACAAATTTGCATATCGCGTCTCCAAGCAACCAACGGCTTGTGATAACGCGCGAGGCGATGAAAGGAATACATAGTAACGCCAAAGCTAAATCGGAGCACGCCAGGGAAATGACAAAATAATTAGTTGTTGATTGAATTCTACGACTTCTGTTAATGACAATACAAACGAATGAGTTTCCCGTCACCGCCAAAATCCAGATAACAATCAAAGTGAACGTCTCGACACCAACTTGTCCGGCATCACGGTCCACAGCGAGTGCACTAATAGCAGGGCTAAGGTCATGAACAACGTTAGTTGCCCGACTTGAAACGTCTTTCATGCCTCTTGTAACGTCATTAGTATCATCGGTGACGTCAGCCATTTGGTCTGGTGACAACCATTCTTTACAAGCCTGTTGAATCTGAAAAAATACGAGAATCAAAATTTTGTCAAAGTCGATAAAGGAAAGGAAGACTAAATAGTTCGTTAGTCTTTATAATCCTAGTGTCGTTCAGGCGATCCGCTGAATGTGGGCGGGACGTCTAAGGTTTGTTTGTTTGTTTGCTTGCTTGTTGTTTAACGCCGCACTCAGCAATATTCCAGCTATATGACGGCGGTCTGTACATACTCGTCTGGACCAGACCATCCAGTGATTGATATCATGAGCATCGATCAACGCAACTGGGATACGATGACAAGCATCAACCAAGTCAGCGAGCCTGACCACCCGATCCAGTTAGTCGCTTCTTAGTTAGTCGCTTTTTACGGCAAGCATGGGTTGCTGAAGACCTGTTCTACCTCGGATCGTCATGGGTCGTGACTCTTTGTTGAAGTATGGAAATAGCATTATAGAAATCTTAGAGCTGACAATACTCTATGTGATCAATGACGATAATCGGCGCAAATCTTGAATTCTAACGAATGGTCAGTAGCTATTGACCTATCTAGGAGGTAACTGACAGGCTGGAATTTCCGGAGTTGCATTTTGGATGGACTGACTAGTCTATACATAGTCCAATCAGATTCGAATCGACATCCTGTTCGTAAACAAAATCAACATTGGTAGATTAAATTAGCAACTGAGGTTGTTAGTGGCGGTATCCTTAAAGGGGGTTTAGGTACTGTAAAATTATTGTTCCCTTGAGAGGTTACGTGTTCCACATCTTTCAAAGTAAATGCAGAACTATCACGTTTTAAATCGCAGAATATGTGTCATTTTAAAATGTTATGCTATCTTTGCCAATAACCGCCAACACTTAAGGGGTGAGGTTAATCCTGCTGTGGTCCATGCAGGTAGCAAACGTACTGTAAGTCGTCCCAATGGTCCCAAGTATGGTTCTCTACCGTCAGTGGCTGGCGACCCCTATAGTCCGTGTTTATCCTGTATTGTTATGAATGGTTGTATCCTTATTATGATTCCATACTTGTTTTAATATTTTTTTCTGTGATAAGTTATTTTACTGTCCTTCGTTGGCAGGTTTTAATATGTCTCAATTGATTTATTATGTTTAACCCTTGATAGTCACGATAGGGCTGAAATAATGCCGATATGACCTCAAACTTTAGCTCACTCACTCGTAAACAACATGGCGGCTGCCGTGAAGATTTCGGCCGATTGCAGGACTTCCAAAGCTTGCATATCGTCGGAAAAATATTTTCCAAATATTTTCATCTTAAAAACCAAAGTGGTCAAGTGTTGTGCTACAGTAAACAAGCACTGGGTTGTGGGACAGGGAATGTGAAGCAAATGAAAGTGCTATGAGGGGTGGAATCACTTGGTCACTAGGGACATTTGCAGGATAGCCAATGTTGGGGCCTCGATCGAGCCGCAAAATTCCCTGATGTTGGCCTCGGAAAATTATTTATTTCCTTTCCTTGTTATCTACAGTGACATGACAACCCACCATAATTAATATCGGTCGTATGCTGTTCTTTTGTGGCCTGCTGACCAACCTGCCACTTCTTACTTAAACCGCAAAGTACAAGCCAGGATACACCAGATAGATTTCTCAGTAATCACTGTCAGCAATGCTCACTGGATGTTTCGAGCCGAGTCACACACAGGCCTGAGAAGCACGAATCAATATCTTGTTTAATCCTTCATTCACGCGACCGCAAGTCAATCTGAACAAGCGTATAGTCGACGGAGTCATCTATATCCCCCGCCCATTTTAACACGTTATGGTCCCAAACCAGGTAACTGACCCAACATTTGTCTTAGCCGATGTCAAAATACCTGGAATTGAAATTCTAAAATATATATTTCTAAAACTCCTTAATATCAAATGGCACCAGTTCAGTATGTGCTTTATATATAGACATGCAATGTTTGGCAAGGAAATATTCAACAGTTTATTTGTTATAGTCCATTAGTGAACCCACCCTATATTAAAACTTAAATCCAACTTGTTGCCATGGAAACGTAAAAAATCAAAAAATCTAAAAGTGCTCAATATCAAGTTACCAGCTGAGTATGTGCCTGGTAGACATGCAAAGTTTTGTAAGAAAGTATTTAACCGTTTTTAAGTTACGCTCCGGAAACGAACACCACCCTTTTAGAACCTAAGTCCAACTTGTTGCCATGGAAACGCAAAAAATAAAAATATCTAAAATTCCTAAATAGCAAAACGCACCAGTGCAGCATGAGTCTGATAGACATGCAAAGTTTTGTTAGAATGTATTGAAATGGGTTTTGAGTAATGCTCGTGAAATGAACACCACCCTTATAGAACCTAAGTCCAACTTGTTGCCATGGAAACGTAAAAAATAAAAATTTCTAAAATTCTTAAATAGCAGAAGGCACCAGTTCAGCATGAGTCTGATATACATGCAACATTTTGTAGAGAAATATTTAACGGTTTCTGAGTTATGCTCCGGAAACGATTTCGGGACGCACACACACACGCACACACGCACACACGCACGGACGGAACCCATTTCTATATCCCCCGCAAACTTCGTAGTGGCGGGGGATAAAAACTGGCACAGACTAGACAGCCCATTTAAACAGGGCACTATATTCTCCTGTTTTCCTTCGGGTTCATGGTAAAACTTGTACCTTTTATAGTCGTTAACTCCACTGCCTCGGGGGAAGTTGACTGACAGCTGAGACACGCTCTGTCCCGACAGTTTTTGAAGGGGGGAGGTGTTACCCAGACGTCTTTGCTGCGCCGAAATTTCCTGTGCAGCGCCCCTTCAACATGCCATAAAATGATCGTGGGTTCGAATTCCAATTACCACTTGATAATGTTTCTAGATTTAGCAACATCAAAGGTGGTTTCAACAAAGTGCTCACCGTCTAAGACCTTCATCACTTCGGGCTTTCCTCCCTTATGAAGCTGATACGACGTGATATGACTCAAATACTTCTCAAAATGGCGTAAAAACAATCTCACTCACTCACGGGAGAACATAAATGTGGCTATTGTTCACTGGATATGTTGGATGACATCTGGTCTGTCTCCCAGAGCCTAGGGAATTTAAAAAAAAGTCTAAACTAAACCATAGAATGTTTTGGCAAGTCCTCAGAATTTAAGGATTGTTCTGGGGCCCGTTTGGATTTATTTCTTTTGTAGACATATATTTTGAATTAAGATAACTTTATTTCTGGGACTTTATGATGACACCCCTCTCACTCACCAAATAAAATAATAAAATGGATTGTTATTGATTGTTCTGTACTGCTGGTATGTACAGAAATGAGCGGAAACCAAGCAAATGCCACGTCAAACATGGCAATTGTCGCTTTCGAAATGTCACGCTTGCATCCCAAGAACCAAGTTGTCCGACTCCCTATTGTTCTCGGTGCCGTAGGTTTGGTACCTCCCAATCTGTTGACTGACATTGGGAGAGTACCTGGATTTGCTGCCAGGAATACAGCCCTTCTGACAATCTGGGTATTGCATAAGGCTGCAGTGTTGGGGAGTCTTCATATACTCCGAAAAATTCTGGGTGGGTTCGACTAGGTAGCGCTTGCTGGGAAAAGAAGTCCCATTCGCTGTGTAGAAGTCATCATTTTTTATCTGTATGATAATGATAAAAAATATATTATAATATATAAATATATAATAATGAATAGTTGCTAGCTTACAGGCCGTGGTGAAATGTTGAAAAAAAATTGCTGATTGCGGTGCAAAACAAAATTCACTCACTCGTGTTACTTACTCAGAACCCATGTGCACGACCAGAGTTAGCAAACATTGGGTCGTAATCAGTCTGAATATTGCCTCTGAACCCACAATCATAGGATTCTGGAACCCATGCTTGTCGTAAGGGGCGACTAAAGGGATCGGGTGGTTTGGCTCGCTGACTTGGTTGATGCACTTTAACGTATCACAAATGGGTGGATCGATGCTCATGACATCAATCACTGGATTGATGCATGTCCCCGTATCCCAATTGCTGGATTGGCTTGTCCAGACTCGAGTATTTACAGACCGCCGTCATATAGCTGGAATATTACTGAGTGCGGCGTTAAACAACACAAACAAACAAACAAATCTTATCAACAAACATTTACCTCACACCAGAAAACTGAATAAATGTCCTCCGATGTAATTCCAATTCCGGTATCAGAACACAAGTAACATGAATTAGTAATTGCTATAATATGTACTCCAGCAAGTTGTTGATCGATTGGAACACTCTGCCTTTCCTCCTAATTTGTCTCTTATTGTTCTATTTGCAGAGACAAGCCTTCAGTCCAAACATGGTTAGGTGTGTCATTCTCGTAATTATCTGCGTCATGTTTGTCAGTCTCCTACGGGTACATTTGTTTAGCAGACGGTGTAGTGGAGATTAACTCGAGAGGAGGTTCGTGCATATTTCATTATAGCCAGATCGCTGGCTTTTTTTCAGTGAGGGGTATGTTAAGGCCAAGGTCATCTGTGTCGGCAGAGGGCTTATTGAGACGAATAAATGTACGTAAACTCATTATACCAGCAGGTTAATGTCGCGGAAAGAATGACGATGTGCGAGCTGACTCAACGCGTGGTATTTGTGTACACGATCCAATGAAAATAGGTAACTGGGCGGGACAGATTCTGAGGGATTATGGCTCGGAATCGAAAAATCACGATATTTTGAGCTTCCAAAGGCGGTGGCTCATGGGGCCATCTGGTGATGCTCGTCTCCGAATTCTTCAATCGATTGCCATGGGCCGAATCAGCCGACTTTTTATTCGGGTGATAACTATAGCCTTTCGTTTCAAATTTGCTGGAGTAAAATTTCCTTTTATCCTCAGTCTTTGCAGCGTGGAGATTCGCTGCAGCATAAGACTGTCCTTTTTTATACTCGATGGTGGGTGGTAAAAAGGAGTGCTGAATCAGTTTTCTTTTGACATAGATTCCCAACACACTGGTTCAAAAAGAAGAGATTCTGACAAATCCTTGTCTGACGAGAATGCGCCAGTTCGTTCTGACT